TTTCTACCGATCCTTTATGAGCAAAATGGAACAGCCGCTTTGCCCGTGCATGGCTTTGCTACGATATGTTTTCCAAATTCTTGCCCCCTAGCTGTTGAAAGCGCCAACATTTAATGGACGATAGATCTGGTTGAAGCCTCATTTGCATTTTGGCCTCATAAGGTTGCTGAAAATCCGTCGACAGCCCACGACCGGTTTCGTCCTTCTTGGGGCTCATCAGGTAGGCGCAGTCCCCGGGTTTCCGTCAGCCTTATGTTCTACTTGAAACCAAATTGCAGGAAATTAGCGAATAAACACTCAGCTGCAAACTAATTTGGTTGTATGTATTCACGTGTGGAACGCGTTTAACATGGTTCACAAACGAGAGGTTCAGCTGGGTTCCAGGTGAGTTTCTCGGAAAACCAAATTAGTTTGCAAATGATATAATCCTTCCTTGCTACGCATCACCATCAAGCCGCAGCGCGTTGATCAAGGTTGCGCCTTATGGGATTGCAAGCAAAAATCTGGAACAGCAAAGTCCCCAAGTTTACCGAATTGTTTGTACGGACATTAGTAGCTATTCATCGCCGTCAGCAGTTCGGATATGGCCACTAAGCACATGTCACATCTAGTGAAACGACTGATATGTTCTGTGATTTGTAGATACACTAAAAAAGGTATGCTTTAATTATTTCCATAAGACGACGCAAGTGTTGGAAAATTGCTTCACAGCAAACTATTCCTGTTGTGTGAACAATTGAGCCAACGTACGTGTAGAACTGAGAATGCGGATGGGATACACAGTCGTTTATAAAAAGGCTGTGATAATGTACTTTTACAGGTGGCACTTGTCCTACAGTGTTTTTTTCGTCCAATAATTACCGCATTGATTAGCACAAGTGTTTCTACCGATTAGCTGGATCTCATTGGCTCCATTGCTTCATTGTTCCATTAACTAGGTTTCAGGAATACTCGATATTATTTTTAAAGTAGTAGTATAGTATAGTAGTATAGTTGGGGAAAATTCAGTCCCGTTGGTGAATATATACTATCTGAAAAGCTGTCATATTTACCGGAGAGTTTTCAGGAAGCAAAATAAATTTTGTGTTCGACCACATATTTGGGTCTTGGCTAAAACGATGTATCCTCTCCTGCGCTGACAGACTCGGATCGTATATAGTGAGAATCTGTAAAAGATTTAAGATTTCATTTTGAAGACAGGTGATACCGCCTGCTTTTTTTGAATAAGCCACAATCCACCCTTTGCCTTTCAGGAGTAGAAGAATTCATGAAAATTTGTGAGTCCCTCACTTTTAGTCAGAACGTACCTTTTATAAAAGGAGTAAATATTTCGGTTTCATTGACCTTTGTATTACTCATTTCCTATACACTTATATGCTGTCCATCACAAATTTGATGCTAGATTCCAGTAGTATGTATGCTTTTCGTTATCAGTCTCGACGCTTGACTTGAAATTGCCATCGATACGAGGATGTTCCAGCTGGATAAGCACTTATTCTCCAACATAGTTTCATTCAAACTTTTCGAGTATTGCATGCATTAATTAAACAGGAGAAAGGTCAATATTCAGAAAGTAGTATGAATTGATCTGAAATCGCCTGTGAATGTCTCCCAGAGTGCCACAAGTATCTGATTCTGCGACCAATTTCCGGCTACCTTATCTTTTGCCATCCAAGTATGCCAAGGTGGACCGAATGTCGCAATTAAGTAGTCCGATCTAGTCTTCCAAATGTGTAGATATGTTTTATGTATAGTCTTCAACATGTTATGCTGTTGCTCTGAAATGTATGAATGTGTTAAGCTCCCATTACCAAAGTTTGGATTACCTCCGCTGCAGTCTGTGCACGAGATACCTTGCGCTCGCGCTTCTGACATCCAGTGAGAACTCTGTCTCACTCAGAAATGTTCAACACACTATTATCCGCGTTACATTAGATGATACACAGCTGAAAATAAAGGACGATCCCTTTCCTTTTTTTTCGGCATCATTTCTGATACTCCTTAAGTTCCTGTTTGGTGGGATGTGAAGGATGACTGGGGAAACCAATCGGCGTCTGGTCGACATGTGTACTGATCAGCCTGGCAATGACCCGTCCAAATAAGCCCTAGTGTATGTATATTTATGCGGATAGTAGAATGGTTGTTTCACTGCTGCGTTAGTACAAAGTAATCTGCTTTTTCTGGAAAATTTAGATTATAAGTAAGGAATGCATGGATTCACTGAAAGTTTGGATCAATATATTAACTTTGGAAGGATTCAAAAGACTCAATTTTACTGAAAAAACGAGTCTAGTAGAGCTGAGATTTATCCAAGTACAACTACAAAATCTGTCGCTTATTTGTGCAAGGAATTACTGAGTATTCGGGCTTTTACCATTAAATAATCAAAGATTTTATCAAAAAGGCCAAAATTTCCATCAGAAAGGTACATTGTTGAGAGCCGGAGGTCTGTTAGTAGAACTGTGCAAAAGTTCCGGTTTGTTATTCTCTCCTGTTCTCACAGCTTCCCAGATCCACCAGGCTTTGCTATCAAGACGGGCTTTCATTTGGCTATTGCTACTCCATCATATGCACCGCGTCCTTGTTCAGGGTAGAAATTCTCCCCATCCCCTGCTTCACACGTCTTTGAGACTGATAGATGGGCTTAGGTTTGAGGATTTTTTATTTATTAAAACCGCTTTGTTGCCTTTTTTATCAAAGTGAAACAACCCATGGAAACAAGTGAGTACCCTAGATACATCTGGGCTCGGGAAATGAAAAATATCAGTCACCTGTTGCAAGGCTGTGGCACAATAAGTGCTTTACAGAAACGCTGGTTGCTGACCGACATAAGTAATTAATGAGATGCGATTAGTTTTTCCTTAATTGGGCGAGATGGTTCAGTGGTTAGAGCGCGAACTTACTGACCTGAAGTTAGGTGGTTCGAACCCGACCTCTGCCACTCGACTCGACTAGGCTTGGGCAACCTGGCAGTATCCCAGCCCTCGTGCCTCATTCGTGTGGCATGGCAGCTAGGCACCAAAAGGGTGCTACAGCTGGACGATTATTATTATATTTTGTTCATAGCCACACCACTCTCATTTGAATGGCCGTGTTCCTGTTCTGGCGTAATTATTCCGATGAGTCTACACCAAAGGGAAGAACTGGACTCGAGTTTCGCTCTTATTAGAGCTCATCAGCAGTGCATATCCAATGGCCGTGCCGGGATTTGAACCCCGGCCTTAATATTCCGGGGAATAAATTGTTGCAGGTCTATCGGCTGTTGGCATCAACTTAGCGTCAACTGTTCCGAACTAAAAGAGTTCCACGCCGAAGGCATACACGTGTAAGTGGAACACTTATATAGTAATAATGGGGAAACAGTGGAGAACGATCCCGATGTGCTAGGGGAAATAGTGTGACCCAGTAGTATCAAATAGAACTGTTGGGTTTTCCAAAATGATCATTGTGTATTTTTCTTATTTCTCCTATTGACTGAGTTTTGATGTCTTGCTTTGGAAACGTCTTGAACATACGTGTGACTTTTACTACACTTGTCTCCAAATGCACTTTGAAAACTCTGTTCCTTATTAATCAGTTGGTCTTTATACGTGGAACAGCACTTCTCTCCTTTATCCCACATTTGCTCTTTTCGTGTTTCGATGAGACAGTCCGTAAATATGAGACAACAATTGTCAATAACTTGATAGCTTGGAGAATTTTCAAAGCAAATTTCAGTAGTTAGTCTAAAAACAGAGGCTGACAAACATGTGTGCCTTAATTTTTGGCTTCAACTCTGACCACGTGAAAAGTCTGGACAGAATAGGCCCGGGCATTTCTTTCTGACCTATTGAATAAGATTCCTTGAACTAAAGTTGTCAAACCATTCTCTGGGTTCCTTTTATTGAATAACGAATGAGCACAGGTAACAGTCAGACCAAGACATGATATTATGTTTCGACCACCCTATAGACAAGTCCATTGATTCATTGAATCATTGAACAACACTGTTCAATAACATCGGAATAACACTCCTACCATTTTGTATTTTGGTATTAGAATATCTGTTTATGATAAATGGGTGCGTGAACGCTCCATCTTTGTTATTAAACTGCAAATTGTGTGCGTTTTGGAATTCAATATCTAAACCTGGCATACTTTGTTGTATTTAAATTACATTTTGGCTCTTCATATCCCTACAAAACCAGTCAACCAAATTCAGTTTGTCCACGGGGTAGCGTCCGAATCGGGTTCGCCGGACAACAATGGTGGGATCACTGAACATCTGCATAAAACGGCGTCCATTAGCAGCACAATGCTCTCAGGTGCAAAGCTTCTACGTATGGACTGACAATTTATGCGACAAAATGTTGAATTTAGTTTCATATGTGCTCAAACCAAAAACCATCCTAATATAGGCACACCTTTTTGCAGCTCACCAAATTTCATTGTCCTCTGAAGCATTCAAACCTCAGGCAGAAAAACTTCTGTTGGAATAATTGCCCCGCATCGCTGAGACCTCGGAATGCCTAAATGAGGCTCAAAATTCGGACTGATACTCTTAACTCAATTGTCGGATTGTTTTAATCCATCAGGGGTACGTCACAACTGTCGAAAATTCAATTCCATTGTGCAAATACCGAGCGCCGCATATAACTCGAAAGTCACAGATTGCCTCGTCCACGCCAAACGTGGTGCCACATGCAGGTCCCTGAAGCTGGTCTTATCCTGAGATAATAGAGTCAGCGGGAAAAGACACAGAGGCCTGAATAATGGACACCCGAACCGGGATATTGTTCGTCTTCGATATACGTGCATCACCCCTCAGTTCCTTCAATTTCCGGCGCAATAAGGTATGCCCCTGAAAATTCAATCCATTGTGCAAATACCGAGCGCCGCATATAACTCGAAAGTCACAGATTGCCTCGTCCACGCCAAACGTGGTGCCACATGCAGGTCCCTGAAGCTGGTCTTATCCTGAGATAATAGAGTCAGCGGGAAAAGACACAGAGGCCTGAATAATGGACACCCGAACCGGGATATTGTTCGTCTTCGATATACGTGCATCACCCCTCAGTTCCTTCAATTTCCGGCGCAATAAGGTATGCCCCTTAGCATGGATTCATGCAGTCGTTTTTGCGGACCGCCACTAGCATGTCGTCAAGACGGCATCCAATTAAACGTATGACTAATGATTCTGTCGCCCCTAAGATGGCATTTTTGAACAAGTATTGACTAGTGAATGTGATGAAATTACCCAACTGTTTGCTCTTATCAAACGGAGCAGTAAGTGTTCTGGCGACCTCAAAAACCTAATCCTGCCAAGTGTGCCTCTCCGGGTATTCACACGTTCAAAGTTGTAATATGAGGTCAAGCGACCGTCTGTTTTCAGGCACTGAGATCCGTTGCGTTTCGAAGCTTCTCGCATCCGTGTAGAAAGTTGTTTTGTTGTGTGCTCTCACAATCTAAATTGGAGGTTACAGTTTTTCAAACCTCACCAAATGGAAGAATTTCGGAGGTACTCATCTTTCAGCTCAAGGAAGGTAAGTTGTTTTTTAGAGTTGGCCTCATGTCGGATTGCAAATCCAAAAGACTTCAGGGTGAATATGAACAAATGAAATCGACCTGAAAGTGTGAATATAGTGTCCAGTTTTTTGCCGCCGTAAGTGAACAGCAGCAGACAAGAATATTAGCCTCCATACGCAAGTGGCCATTGCTCTGGACGCAATTTCCAAGGCGGAAAATGCTGTATTGGATTTCGGGCGTTGGTTTACTTGCTAAGCTGGGCAATTTGGTCGCAAACGTTTCATTATCAATCGAGGTGACGTCATCAGCGCGTTGTTAGAGTGTGTAGTGAAGCGTAGTGATTGGTCGGTAGTTGTCAACATGCACCCAGCACGGCGAACAAACCAACAACCATCTACTCGTTAGAGTTCAGTAGTAATGTACATCCTGACAGTGCTGGGATCTAAATTCCAGGTGCTTGAAACGTGAGGCAAACGCGTTGGCATCAGCCTACCCCCCACCTGAATTGCTACATTTGAAGAAGAAGACATGTTTATGATTGAGTGTGCGGTGGTAGACTGATGCTAACGCGTTTGTCCCACGTCCCGACCGGGCCGAAGAAACTAGTGGAGTTCAAAAATAGTCCTCAGATTGGTTGATTCGGTTCACGACTGCGATCTGTCTTGCAGTGCTGATTGTCAGTCGTGCTTCGAGCACTTCAGAATCCACACTGAATATTAGAAACTAATCAGTTTATCAGAATGCAAAGCTGATTCTGAGATCTGTCCACTGCTAAACTTCTTTGTTGCTAAACCGAAAAATTGTCGGTACATCCATTAAGTCTTACGGTTTTCCTTTTCGCAACTGTGCATAATTGGTTGACGAGTTTGTTCCTTGTGGAAACCTGGATGATGTCCTGCGCTGAAAAGAAAAGAATTACTGCGCATGGTTCCCATCTTCAATGGTAATCACTGTTGTTTTTATATTATCCTTTTTACTTCTATTACCTAGCACTTTCCTTGGCATCAAAAGCTGCTCTCTGCACATTACTTTCTCTCTCTCCGTCTCTCCTTTTTGTAATAGCCTACCAAGCATATATAAGAAGTAAGTCCAAGAATATTCTTGTGGGTTTTGGAAATTTACTTCCCTCCTTCCGAACAAAGCACTGATGACGAATAAATCCACTTGTCCTAGTTCATTCCTCATTCCGCCACCGTGTGAGCAAGTGGTATCACAAAAACACACATTTTTGGCTACGGCACCAAGAAACTACTGAAGCCATATTGAAAACTTGTCTGATAAACTCCCCTGACCATTCACGTTAACAACCATCATGGTGAAACATGAAATGAACTCTTTGAAAAGGCAACCTTTCTCCAACAACTTTCAGAAATCGAACGGGAATAAGAAGCGTGCTGCTAGTACGGACAAAATTCAACCATTTTCGTCTTACCTCACCAGCTCAAACGATATCGCGCACCGGAAAGTTCGGCGTACGTTTCATGACACCGCACTAGCATGCATGCAACAGTGACTCGTTAGTGTGATTCAGACAAGTTTCCAGACTTGTTGGGTGCTTAGGCCAAATGACCAACACTATTCAACAACATGTGAATCGAATGAACGGCGGTATCGACCTTTCTTTGAACAGAGGATAGAAATATCGATTTTTTCAAACGCCCCTTGGGTTTACGTTACAACGGCATACGAATCCATATGGCTGGAACACAACACCCAGTGAGGCGTTCTGCGAGATAAATCAAATGATAATCTGAATTGTGGACACACAAATGGGTATTATTCATGCCTTTTTAATTCTTTTTTTACAACTCTCCCTTAACCATTGTGCCATGCATGACCGAAAATCGCATCCCAAAACCTGTCCGTTTGATTATTTTTCAGACATGCCACGGAATTAACCAATACGTTGGGGGTGTATACTGTAATGCGTTAATATTTCAAGCAAATGCCCAGAATACATGTAGTCTATAAATTTGTATTTTACAAGTGAATTAGTAGATGCATGCATTGAGCCTGATGAAAGTTACAAATGTCCCAAACGCCATACTTTTTCTCGCATGATACCACCTATGAGATTGGCAAAAGACAGCATAATACCGGCTTCTTCTATTCCGTAACTTGTCGAGCAGTGTCTTCATTGTTGTCGCATTGCAAAAAATCAATTTGATATCCTGAATATCGTTTTAAATGAAGCATAATACGGTTTATATGCAGCACGTTTAGTTTACAAACATTGTAAGCCAGGGATCAAGATAAGGTTCGGTGGAATCTACCGTTAATGATAGCGTGATTTGTTAATGAGTGTCCCCCTGCGGACCAAACATTTATATTCGTGCCTGAGATTCTAACAATAACTGATTGAAACCTATTTAGAACTTAGTCGTCCACGATCCATCAGTCTACTGGATAAACGCGTAATTCTAGTGGGGGTCTTCCAAACATGGCATAATGTTCCAAACGAGGATGGATGGATGAATGATAACTAGTCATAGAACTAGGCCGAATCTAGATAAGTCCCTTTACAAATTAACAGGAGACCCAGATAAATCTGTCTTGTGATATTCTATGGCCAAATTTTCCCCTCGAATTACGCCGTTTGTTTCAGTTTGCACGACTATCGGGACATCCCTACTGTAATTTCCTGAAATAGCACGCTACTTACAGAGCTTTTCAGTAGCTCATCACTTGAGGCGGTCTTTGTGCACCATAAAAGAGATAGATAATCATCCGGTATTAAAGTGTGTCTTGCGTTAACACCAAATTGATCTACAGATGAACGTGCTTCCATAATGGGCGTACAATTTGATGATCACGTATGGCATAAGGTTGACGAAACTTCCGGGTCTGTGATGAGCCCTACGATGGGCAAGACTGGACTGCCAGAGTCCCCGGCAGCCTAATGAAGTGTGTGTTATGCCAAGGTCTTGTCCACATCTGTCTGTTTTCTTATGTTCTGTAACCATGCTCCAGCTAGGCGACCATTAGTAGCCAGTTTTCATTACGCCCCACAGGATGAATCGTGGTATGCAGTAGAACTCCTCATTAAGATCTGGGGCAGTAACCAACATCCTGTTTAAAAGGATGGTTTCTGAAGTTCTCCTTAAACTTCGTTTTAAATTCTCAAAGTAATTAGAGATAGCAGACGCTTAGCGTTTATCAAAGCTCAACACAATGGAACGATATGGAGAAAAAAGGACAATAGCCTGCTTGATGACGGTTCTTATCGAAAATGTTCATTGAGCCTCGTAGATTATTGTAGACAAGTTGCTCGCCAGCTGTGTAAAGAAGGACCACTGGGTGAAGCCCAGACACTCGCAAAAACAAACCAGTCTCCCCCAGTCTGATTTTATCAGGCGATCGTATCGAGACTTGTTTCTTGACCAATGGTTAGATAACGTGGGAACCGACACTCCTGTTTGGATTGTATATGTATCTACAGGCCACTGCTAGCGAGCCCGAGGTCTGTCCAAACTCGACTAATAGGACCCGACGCACTGACGATGTGTCCTTGTATGGTGAAAAACTGCCTATGTCGGTGTCAAAGTATTAGTATTTAGACACGCCGCCAAGCTATTCACCCAAATTATGCAGCCCAGCCAAAATATCAACCGTCAAACTCTGGAAGACGTTGAGTTCTGTTGTGAAATTTCCCATCTTTGTTGATTACAGAAATAGGCGTATATCTACCTCATATAAATGTAAGATAAATCTGAAAGGGATCAAAGCAAGAGGTCTGGTGCAGTTACACACATCGGAACAGGATATACTAGAGTGCAGTTTCTACCGTAGGCCTTAACTTTGCGGGGGGTGTATCTTATATCCTAGGGATCTCGTAAATTTGATCACAGTTCTCCCCGGACGCAGAAGTATTGCCTACGTGCCGTTTGCAGACCACCAATTTATGGATTTCTTCCGACAGTTACCGTGACCAATGAATATGCTTGCAAGAAGCGGCAATATGGTGCTTCTGTGGTAAATATGATCGTTTGGTCCTTATGCTTTTTTAATAGTTGTCTGTTCAGCGATTCCCTCCTTTTCGCGAAGTGTTTCGGATTCCAACATCTCAAGCACTGGTATCTGAAAAGGGGTTGATGCATCTGAGTCCTATCCCATCAACTTACGCCGTTCACGTACTCGCTGAGTTTATTGAATATAATTTTACACGCTGAGCATGAATGTTTTGTTAACTTCCAGGCTCATACCTCAGAAATTTGAACTTTTGACCAGGATAAGTGACTGGTCAGATAGGCTACTCTGGATTTCTGACATTATTCGGCGGATAGTTTGAATAAATCGATTGTTTACGGAAAAACAACAGACCCCTAATCCAACAGCCGTCAAACCGCTTAGCTCCCACGTGATCTTGCGTTCAATAAACTGGAAATATAGGGCTGCGTGCCTTGCCCATGTATCCCTCCTGATGCATCCTAACCATGATGAAGAACTATACCTGATCCGATCACAATTCGTGCTGATACATGAATACTGTCTGTTTACCGGGTATACTGTATTAGAATTCTTTAATTCAATAAAACTGGGTTCTTAGGATATGGTGCGGTTTATGAGTGTGCATTAGGGAAAACTTTCTTCAACATACTCGTGTGTACACCCTGTACATTTTCTACATGTCACGATTTCTTTCTCTGATGAGTTTATAACGGAACGCAGCACGTATGCACAGGAGGTGGTTAATGATACCCTTCACACGTGAATCCAGGATTTGCAGCGTGGCAATATCGCAAAAGTGACACTGATTGTGTTATTCAAACTAATGTTGATGTCTATATTAATAGTATGGTTCCGGGATACTGCTGTTCGGTGATACTACTGATGGGGAGGCATGCGAGTAGTATGTGTGGTTCTTGGAATTTCGCTTGGCGTCTCTTGAAAATGGGAGATCTGTTGCGGAATTTGTGGACTCACTTTGTAAAATTTGCTTGGATTCGAGCAATGAATGATTGGAGTCAATGAATATCTAGGAAATTTCAAGAAGACGCATTCAGGAGAAGATGGATGTCCCGTTTTTGTAAATAAGATGCAAATGAGAGTTTTGCATCCTTGCCCAATAGTCTGTAACCGGTCATTTGGCATTTTCTGATAAACAGCTTCGCAGCGAAGGTCGTCTTCTTTTCACTAGTAATGGTAATAGGAAAGTAGCAAAACCAGCTTCGATACCTCAGAGATTTTACTGCCGTTTCGCTGAAAGGGATGGGTGTGATTTATGTTCACAAATCAATGGCCAGTCAATCTGGAAATTATATGGTTGTATGATCTTTCCAAGGTGAGTGCTGGATTTCTAGGATTCACGTTCACATGACTCTCTTTTAAAAAGTCAGTCTGGTGTTCTGGCACAACCCCACACAGCTGAGTCTGTCCAGGGGTTTCAAGCATCTGTGGTGTTTACCGACTGGAAAGTGTTGATAGGCGGAAAAAACGGTCGACACACAACCAGGAAAGTTACGGAACCATCGTTCGAGGCTTCCAGAAAACCAATCATAAACACACAACCAGTTACGGAACCATCGTTCGAGGCTTCCAGAAAACCAATCATAACACGTTCACCTGTTCGGATGTGAAAATTTAGATGCAATGCATCTATCTTGGTGGAGCAGTCGTGACTCGCCCTTCTGGAATGTCACGCGTGCGGAGTTCAAACCCCGGCATGGCCAAGACTGCTGATGAGCTCTAATAAGAGGAGAATGCGAACCCAGTGCTTCCCCCTTTTGGTGACGAATACCCAAAATGATTACGGGGACAGGAGGATGATCGTTCAAACGAAAGTGCTGTGAGCAAGGATTATATGTCTATTGCTCGACAGTTCAGTTTACCAGTGCCTTCAGCGAAGCAAGTTTAGGATCTGTGCTACAGCATTCCTAAACTCGAATGCACCCGTACTCAGGACTTCTGTTACGGGCTTCACATTTTTTACTTGGAAACCAGCTGACTACTTATTCTTTGCCAAGATGATGCTGCAAGTACTGCGCTGTTCGTGATAAGACACGCTACACACATTCGAAATTTGACAGGACATGCCGCCTACAAATGCTGTACCTAGTACACACCAAACCAACCCTATACATACCTTCGTTTTACGGCATCGTTGATCACGACCCAAGTATCACTCAACTCACCCACCTGTAAGGGCCATGCAGACGTAGCCCGTGTTACGCTCTGCGTGATACCCACATTTAACGCTTTACGTAGGGCAAATATATGAATGTGCGCTGTGCTCACAGATACCGCGCAGTGACTTTGCAACCACCCTTTCATCGGAACTAATGCAACTTCCGAGGTATTTACAATGCATTGCAACTCCTCAGCTCGTGGGTAGATTGTAAAACGGCTGTACGGTTGCAGCAGTTTTGAAAGTGCCAAGTCACGCGTTCACCTTGCGGATGATCCTTTTTACTCAACTAGAATTGATTTTGCTTATAAGAATCAATTAGAAACTATTACGGCGTGTCCAGCCTCGAAAAGCGATAGTAGATTAGCGAGAGCCGACCGAATCCGTTTTCCGTCCTCACCTCTCATTTCGAGCAAAATGCACTCTAGAAGGGTAAAACCGTTCGTGGGCTTAGAAGAGTATTGAGCAACCTTATGAGCAAAGCATTCCGTCTATACAATGTACGCGGTATTTTGAATAACGTAACAACTGAAACATGCCTGGTGCAGCACAGTTAGTTGCTTAAGAACATATTAAAACGAAAGATTCAGCTGGATTCAAGGTGAGTCTCTTGTTGAAACAAAACAGCTTTGAGACTGAGAGTCTTATTCTAAAAATACACGCAACTACAAAAGTAGCTGTGAAGTACGACTATAAATCCACCTTTCTGAACAATGCTAATTACGGACACCGTGTAAATGAATCGAGTGTTCTCATTTAAAAATTAAAAGTTGTACGGTTTCGCTAGAGAACAAAATGCCTTTACTAAGCGTTGTAACCTCAGTTGTATCCAGGATATCGGGAAAAAATGACGATGATGATGATTTTGCAGTTGAAAGGAAGAATGTTACAGATTCCGCCCACGTTGCAGGGACTAGGGAAACACAAGTATACCCGTAATTTACGCGCATGAATACACGTTCACCTGTTCGGATGTGAAAATTTAGATGCATCCATCGTATCTTGGTGGAGCAGTCGTGACTCGCCCTTCTGGAATGTCACGCGTGCGGAGTTCAAACCCCGGCATGGCCAAGACTGCTGATGAGCTCTAATAAGAGGAGAATGCGAACCCAGTGCTTCCCCCTTTTGGTGACGAATACCCAAAATGATTACGGGGACAGGAGGATGATCGTTCAAACGAAAGTGCTGTGAGCAAGGATTATATGTCTATTGCTCGACAGTTCAGTTTACCAGTGCCTTCAGCGAAGCAAGTTTAGGATCTGTGCTACAGCATTCCTAAACTCGAATGCACCGGTACTCAGGACTTCTGTTATAGGCTTCACATTTTTTACTTGGAAACCAGCTGACTACTTATTCTTTGCCAAGATGATGCTGCAAGTACTGCGCTGTTCGTGATAAGACACGCTACACACATTCGAAATTTGACAGGACATGCCGCCTACAAATGCTGTACCTAGTACACACCAAACCAACCCTATACATACCTTCGTTTTACGGCATCGTTGATCACGACCCAAGTATCACTCAACTCACCCACCTGTAAGGGCCATGCAGACGTAGCCCGTGTTACGCTCTGCGTGATACCCACATTTAACGCTTTACGTAGGGCAAATATATGAATGTGCGCTGTGCTCACAGATACCGCGCAGTGACTTTGCAACCACCCTTTCATCGGAACTAATGCAACTTCCGAGATATTTACAATGCATTGCAACTCCTCAGCTCGTGGGTAGATTGTAAAACGGCTGTACGGTTGCAGCAGTTTTGAAAGTGCCAAGTCACGCGTTCACCTTGCGGATGATCCTTTTTACTCAACTAGAATTGATTTTGCTTATAAGAATCAATTAGAAACTATTACGGCGTGTCCAGCCTCGAAAAGCGATAGTAGATTAGCGAGAGCCGACCGAATCCGTTTTCCGTCCTCACCTCTCATTTCGAGCAAAATGCACTCTAGAAGGGTAAAACCGTTCGTGGGCTTAGAAGAGTATTGAGCAACCTTATGAGCAAAGCATTCCGTCTATACAATGTACGCGGTATTTTGAATAACGTAACAACTGAAACATGCCTGGTGCAGCACAGTTAGTTGCTTAAGAACATATTAAAACGAAAGATTCAGCTGGATTCAAGGTGTGTCTCTTGTTGAAACAAGACAGCTTTGAGACTGAGAGTCTTATCCTAAAAATACACGCAACTACAAAAGTAGCTGTGAAGTACGACTATAAATCCACCTTTCTGAACAATGCCAATTACGGACACCGTGTAAATGAATCGAGTGTTCTCATTTAAAAATTAAAAGTTGTACGGTTTCGCTAGAGAACAAAATGCCTTTGCTAAGCGTTGTAACCTCAGTTGTATCCAGGATATCGGGAAAAAATGACGATGATGATGATTTTGCAGTTGAAAGGAAGAATGTTACAGATTCCGCCCACGTTGCAGGGACTAGGGAAACACAAGTATACCCGTAATTTACGCGCATGAATTTAATTGATCCAGTGCCCATAGGTAAACGTCCGCCAATCATCAATCGATCACAACGTGCTGTTTAAAGATCATCATCTGCTGAACGCGCATTTGTGTTGTCTGGTCCGTCCATCCACAGATCGATATACCCGCCTTTTCGACCATATTTCATCCCCCAATTGACCGAACCTCGAACTGCACCTCGTATAGCACCATTTCAGGCGCTAACCAATTCATGAAGCTGTACTCTATTTTCTTGCTATTCGGCTCACTAGTAAGTCTTGTAGCTCTGTTTTTATTCCGTATTGTTTATTCAAAAGCCAGGCTCTATGGGAGTGTAGGCCGAATTCCTAACTAAATGAACAAGATGATCTTTTGGTACTCATTTGGTGCCTGGGTATTTCGGACTATCTGCACCCCTCGTCCGTTGTAAATTAGATTAATGGGTAACAAGAAGATTATCCTTGCTAACTGATCACAAATTGGGGACGCATGCAGTAGTGGCATACTGTATCATACTACTAGCATACTACTATCATTTTGGTGAAGTGAACTGAAGGGCATGTTGGTCGATGCTGAAAGTAATTACTTAGAGTATAAGCCATAAAATTTGTTCAACAAGAGCAGAATGGCCGTTTATGGTGGAGCTCAAGTCCATGGTTGGGTTTAAAATTATGTCGTGGTTAAAACTCCCAGCTCACATACACGGGTGGACATAGATTACATCTATTTGCGAACCGCGTACTTTTGTATTATTTCCAACCGCGTCCAGTTTACCCACTAATGAAGAGTAACGGTTGTTGATCAGTAGCAGTGTGATTACATCTTTTGCGAACCGCGTACTTTTGTATTATTTCCAACCGCGTCCAGTTTACCCACTAATGAAGAGTAACGGTTGTTGATCAGTTGGAGTGTATTTATTTATTTATTTATTTATTTATTTATTTATTTATTTATTTATTTATTTATTTATTTATTTATTTATTTATTTATTTATTTATTTATTTATTTATTTATTTATTTATTTATTTATTTATTTATTTATTTATTTATTTATTTATTTATTTATTTATTTATTTATTTATTTATTTATTTATTTATTTATTTATTTATTTATTTATTTATTTATTTATTTATTTATTTATTTATTTATTTATTTATTTATTTATTTATTTATTTATTTATTTATTTATTTATTTATTTATTTATTTATTTATTTATTTATTTATTTATTTATTTATTTATTTATTTATTTATTTATTTATTTATTTATTTATTTATTTATTTATTTATTTATTTATTTATTTATTTATTTATTTATTTATTTATTTATTTATTTATTTATTTATTTATTTATTTAT